AAAAAAAAAAAAAAAAAAAAATTGTGACAATAAATGAATAAGTAGGAAATTTAAACGTTAAAACTTAATGATTATTTGAACTGGAACTTTTCAAAAAATATAATAGAAATAACGTAGGCATATCTATTTTTTCAATGTTGAGTTATTTTTCTGCGTCTATTTTTCTTAAGAATTGATTTTTGATGTCTTAAAAATCGAATACGTTTGAAAAGGAAACCAGTTTCCACGACTCTTCTATAGTTAAAAACGATGCATTGAATGTTCTCCATGTATCAATATGAGGCGACAACAAATGAAGGATTTTTAAATTTGAACGATCAAAAATGTGAATGAATTGAATAAACGTTTTTTTTTTGTACTGTAAATAATATTTGCTTATGTATATGAACTTCTTTGGAAAATATGTTATATTAACTTGTATCTAATAAATGTCATGTAAAAAAAAAAAAAAAAAAAAAACTTTCTGCTCAGACACTGATGATGTAGTACAAAGTATGAGTAGCGTGATAAATGTTGAATAGAAAGTTATAAAATTTATCATTTGTTTCCGTGTTTTGACAAATGGAAATTTATCGGGTATCAATATCAAAATACTATCAAATCACTAATGAAATATTGTATCAGTGAGAGACATTCCCTTCAAATGTTTACTCAACTACATGCATGGTTTTCAAGTCGATGTCGATAGGGTGAATATCGGCAATAATTGATGGAAAAATCTAACGGTCTATCGTGCTAAATCGCTTTTTGATTTTTTTTACTGTTATGTTAAATGTGCCTAACAAACTATTCAACACGTTATATTTCAATTATAATTGCATACATATGTACATTCATATTCATATGCAGGTATCACCTCAGAGAATAAGTCATACAGTACATCAGAATGTTACAGTAGAATCAACGCTTCCATTTTTCAGTGATCATTTACATAAACTTTCTGTTGGCATACAGATAGAAAGTACAGGTATAAACAATAATGCTTAAGTAATATTTTCACGATAATGTTGCATATAGGGCTCGTTTAGTAAGATACAATCCATATATATGTATTGGTCCTTTTAAAAAAAACAAAGTTTTAAATGTTATCAATTTTGCACTTTTTGCAACTTATGTAAAACATAAAAAAAAACATGTTTTGCGATCCTGGTAACAAAACGCATGGTCCTACACTTTGTTTATACATATATTTTGCCATAGAGTAATTATTTTCTCAGAATGCTCATTGTGTCATTACACTTAATTCATTGGATGTTTTCTGATTGATATTTATGTCTGGGCAAATGCAAACAAGTTGGTTTGTATTAGTTGGATTTGGACTTGGAATTATCATTCATTAACTATGAGCACTCTAAGATCTATACTGTGTGTCTTTTGTCATTTTCGTGTTTCGTTTTTGTACAGATCCGATAAGTCAAGCCTCATCCTAGTAATTTTAAAGTTTGTCTTTTGTTGTGTCGATCCAGGTGTTTATAATTCAAAGATGGTCGCTAGCTGCTCTTTGCCATAGTTGTTTCCGTTAATTGCTGTAACATACATATGGCTGTTGGTTTACTCGTTTGGTTTCTTTTGTAAATTATCATACCGGGACCCATTGGCAATCGAACCACATCTCCGTTTTTATAATAATACATGTCATCTTATCATGCTTATTAAGACAATTATGCATTTGCAAAGGTGTTTGAAATAATCAATTGATTGATAAGCTGCAAAACTTTCATTGTTTATAATGCGAATAACTTTCTTATTCACCAAAATTAAATCATCCTGCAGAGCACCCTTTTATGATTCAATTTGATAAGTTCTAAAATGTTATAACAGTTACTACTACTAGGGGGTGTTAATCGACCGTGACTACCCATGAGGGTCTCACACGGTCGGTACATGTTTTAATGTGCTACTTAAGAATAGTGTAATATTTTCCACTAACTATGGTTCGACTTACTTGATGTAGGCAAATATAACAAAAATGATTTTCCAGATCGGAATTTCATTATTGAGTGCATACAAGCACTATAGTAAATTATCGTTTATTATCATTCTAGGTCGTAATGTTACAAAGTGCGCCTACAGTTTTGAATTAGATTCCTTGACAGGAAAGTATACATCTAAAATACCTGTTCATGTGCAACCACACTCCTTTTACAAAAACTCTGACATATTAATATTTCGTCGATTGAATAATCTTCGTTATCCGATGTTTTATGACTACAGTCTACCGATCGTCCATATTGGTGTAAGTTTACTATGAAAAGCATGTAAAATTTATACCTTTGACTTCTATTAAAAGATAATGTCATCACAAATGTGTAGAACACAACCACATGACTACTTGCTTTTCAAAGCTAATAACTTCGTTATTGGTTGCTATTAATTTAGTTATTATTTAGATAATATAAACACTTATAAAAGAAAGTTATATTACGACGAATTACAATGTCAAAAATAATTTGAATACATCTACCATATATTGCTTACATTTTTAATTTACAAGTCATTTTAAGATACAATCCTTTTAACTTTCAATATAGGTAAATTGTTTTTAAAAATTTCTGCACTTTTTAATCATGTCAATTAATGCTCAAGTCACGTAAAGTACGCTGCTCTCATTTTGTTAAACAATCTATTCGTTATTTCCTATTATTGAATTATTCTTGAAAAATGATAACATATGTGTTAAGTGTTCAGAAATTTTTCACTTACATTGCTTCCGTTTATGTGAAACATTGCAACCTTTTGTCTATAAATATACCAGTATATAATTTTGAAAAAAAAAGAGGAAATACAACATGCGGCTCTCTTAATAAAAGCTTGGTAATTACGAGTTTTTGTGTAACTTTCCACTTGTACGGCTCATATATAATTGTTGTGTTTAAATGTAACAACTCGGAAGGACTAATATCAAATGCCAGTGAATAAATTTTACTGCAAAACCATTGTATCATCGAAACCTTTTTATCAGTTAGAGGTCCAAGAAAGTGCTGTACATTCACCATCTCTGGGTCAAATCAAAATGTATGCCTCATGAAAGATCGACTTGACAAGATTCTCTAGTGCCAGTTGAAATAAATCCTATCAAAATTAAAATACTTCACAAATACACGTCCAGACCTATCTTGTTGTTGAAAGGAATATAAATAATGCAAAAATTTTATCTCAACCTTTAAATTACGTTCCTTTTACATAAAAATCAAAGATGAAGGTAGTAACGGTACCATCACACTTGTTTAATTGATGCAATGGCTTCTTCGTCATTTCGTTTTTTCTATTTATAGCATTACAGTATTTCACATGATGTTTTGCATTCCTGTAAGTTAGAGGGGGACAGTATTCGATTATTTGATGACTCGTGAGTACATATTTAAATCATATATACTATACTATTAGACTTTTTCAATAACTCTCGACAACGACTTATGACACCTACAGTTTACACTCCCTTTTCACGAATGTGACCTACCGAATTAGACTATTTATCGGGTTTGTACTAACATGAGCAATACGACGGGTGCCACATGTGGAGCAGGATCTGCTTATCCTACCGGAGCATCTGAGATCACCCCCAGTTTTTGGTGGGGTTCGTGTTGCTTAGTCTTTAGTTTTCTATGTTGTGTTTTGTGTACTATTGTTTGTCTGTTTGTTGTTTTCTTTTCAGTTATTTTCGATTTATGAGTTTGAATGTCCCTTTGGTATCTTTCACTCCTCTTTTACAGATGAAATGGAGGGGTCGTACCAAAGATAAAAATCATTCAGAAATAATATAACATACTTATTCGAAATTATAGAATTAGACCTCCTTAAAAAATGGCAATTCGCAAATTTGTCACATGTACGTTGAATTGTATAAATCTTTGAGTAAAAACATACTGATTCACATCCGAATACTTTTCTATCTTCAATTATATAATTATGAATATTAAGATGTGCTAGTCTTCAATAGAAAACTCTGTCAACTGTAAATAGCGATTAACTTGTTTTAGAATGCCTTGTTTGTGTCTACAGCTAATTATTCCTTAGCAACAACGTTGTAAAGAGGCCATGATATTCCAATGTGTCTGCCTGTCCGTTAGTAACACATGGTGAAGACACGGCATTGCTTGTTTATTAATCGATCTTCGACAACAACCCATATCAATCCGTAGTCGAAAATGTTTGAGGAAAGTGTCAAAAATTTAAAAGTGTTGTCACTGAATATAGAATTATTTTTAAAATCAAATTGGTGAATTTAACTATGGAGAAAAAAGAAAATATAGAAGGTATCCAAGACCAACATTAAATGACATATTCCAGCCTTGTAAAAAGACTTACACATTTGTTTGATCATCTTTTCGGTTCTGAAATACACATAGCTTAATTTTCGTCTGCCAAATTTCAACACGAAACCTTGAACATGGATGAAGATCGTCGATTTGAAATACAATATGAAGATCCTCCCGGGCTTCTCTTCATACTCAATTAAAAAATAAAATTGACATTTGATTAGCAATTGATTTACTATGTTAACCCAAACAAGCAAAATATCATTGTGGTAAATATAACAGACATAAAGGATAACTTTTTTTTCAAGCCAGTATACATTTACGTTAAATACTATTTTTGAGACGAAACCTTACATTTTACACTCTTCTACCTGTCGGTGTCCTTATTAACTGAAGGTTCAAACAGTTGTTGAAAAGGTCTATTACTGTTATCCGGACCCAAACATATATAGGATAGAATGAACATAACTAAAATTCATGAATTCGACAATATAAAAAAATTATCTAGACTGTTATCAATAAGATACCTTGTGTTTTTTGCAAATTATGTTTGCCATAGAATATATGAAAAAGCTATTTTCATAAAAAATTGAAAACATGTACTTTGATGTATGAACATATTGACGAAATGTATGATAATGTTTTTTTTTGTGTAACTTTTGTATAAAGTTATATAACCTTGTAAAATATAAAAACTTCTACAATTTACATGTCATCGAAACAAATGCTTTATTACAGAACACTTACTATCAACCAGGGAGAGTACCTATATTTGATTCTTTATCGAACAAATGCCGTGCCTTCCATGGAGGTACGTTTTAAGTATAAACTTTAATACATATAGTTTTAGTTTCTGACAAATATGTGAGTCTTCCAAAGAGAGTAAACGTCGCCTGTCGTTCCAAAAATAATTTCAACAGAAATAGAGGAGTCCATGTTTTGGTATTGGAAACGAATTTTTGGTTTGGTTCTGGTAAAATCTGTTAAGCTGTTTTCATGGATTTATAACTGATATAAGCAAAACTTATAGGTCCATGTTTGGATATGGGAAACCTTAAAGCGATTAATTCTTACCCAAAAGGAAATTGTGCTTCAATATGCTTCATATAAAATGATATGGTGGGTAAACTATCTTTTGGGGTATGACGTTGTTTATCATTTGGATTCTGATTGACGATACTTGATATTCGTAATTTATAAATTTAACAAAAGTTAAATTACATACTCTCAGCAATGTTTTCAAAAGCTTTAGATATTGTATAAACACATTGATTTAGTGTGGAACAATTGTTGACATGTTAATGTCCTATTGGATGCGCCGTGCGGTTGTTGTCTCGTTAACCCATACAATGTGTAACGCAGTCATCGACGACAGAAGTGATCTTTGTGCGTCGCTTTTGCTTCGCTGTCAGGTATATAAGCTCTAAAAAGAATCAGGAAAGGATAACAAATATCAGTCTACAAAAGGAAAAGGGAAGATGAGTAGTCCAAATTGGAACTCAACTAAAATATATTTCAAATTATCTGAAATTTGCAGAATTGAATGTTGAATATATTTATTTCAATAAAACCACCCTATTTTGTTTAAAATTAAACATTTTTAATGAGTTATACAGTCATGAATGACAGTAAATTCTGAAAGATGGCTAAATTAGGCAAATTTTGGACTATTTGATCTGTAAATAACTAGTAATGTCATAGAATGATATTTAATAGATACATGTAAGAAAGGATATTGGGCATTCATCCATGACACAAAATCAATACAGATAATGTTACATAAAAAGTAGAATAACAAAAATACCCAACTCCAATGAAAATTCAAAACAGAAATTAACTTATCAAATGGAAAAATCAAAAACCTCAAACACATTAAACGAATGGAAAACAGCTGTCATATTGTTGGTACAGGCATTTCCTTATGTAGAAAATGGTGGATTAAACCTGGTTTTATAGCTAGCTAAACCTCTCATATGTATGACAGTCGTATAGAACTACTTTATATTGACAACAATGTGTGAGCAAAACAAACAGGCATAATAGGTAAAAATGTAAAACAAAAGTTGGGACACAGCAGTCAACATTGTGTTTTAATCTTAATCACTATAAAAACAAACAACTATGCCAGTATTTTGATCAGTCATACAAATCTCTAATTACATTTGTTCGAACCAATTTTGGGATGCAATAGATGTGATTTATTATCATAAAGGTACAATTATGCAATACAGCTCAAAACCCAGTGTCCTATCGGATATCACTCATTTTATCCAAGTACGGCCATAAGCTCTTTTTTCAAATCTGTTCTGTTAAAAGTTACCAGGAGCAAACGCTAGCATTTGTGTTATCTCTGCGAATCTATTTTTTTTTTCTTTCGTAATATATAAAATCTAACCAATAGGCTGAAATTAAACGTCAGATGAACGGCAGGAAAATGGTAACATGTGGTGTATTTGTTAAAGAAGGCAATGATGCTGTACAGATAGATGTTTGTGAAAAAACGACACAATTTGTTCCTAAAGTAAAGTATCTATCCAAGTCAGCTGAAAGAACAATAGGTGTTCAGCAATCAGACGACGGGTTGCGTTTCGTTGTGAGTTTTTTCTTCTTTATACAATAAGAAAAGGCATGACATCTAAAGACGAGTACAAAATTTGAATACATTTTGCAAGATTTTAAGCTAGAAAATATTCAGTATGGTCATAGAATTGCACTCTTCAATTGGTCTTCACTATTAAAACCCTACGTTGTCATTAATGTTTAATTCATAATGAACATAAGTACACCATTTCAAGTTATTGTGGCCACAACTTTATCATAAACTACCTTCAACCAAAACTATAACCAGAGACAGAATGTACAGACCGTTTTTATATGTATTTTGTTAATTGGAATACCTGTACGAAAGCGTTTCATAATCCAAAACATGTGTTTCTTTTAATTTACCATAGATAACAGTTTTAACTGGTTCAAATATAACAGTGGACATCAAGAGATCATCTGTGGACATGTATGTTACATTGTCAATAATTGATCAAGATCTAAATCCTCCTGGTGGAATTTGTGGAATGTCCACGAAAGGACAAAATGAGGCGGCGTTTTTTCGAACATGGACGTAGGTGATTTGTAAAATCAATGATGTAAACGAAAAAAGATTATATTTAACTAAAATATACAAACTTTCAAATTATACAAAAAAGCCAAACGAAAAACGAAGAAAAGACAAACAAAACAATTGTGCCCACCTTGTAAACTAATTAGACAGTAAACAATATTTAATCTTTAAATAAATTGCAAAATATAACGTATTATTGAATTAAGAATTTGATATATAGAAGCAATTATAAATCGAATGTGTTTGCATTTGTGTTTAAACAAACATTAAATAAACAACTGAGTTAAAATGTATGAGAATCCGTAATTTGTCAGTTTATTGGGATCATAAAAAGCGTTAGATAAAGTAGGACAGCGGCAAGGCATGATAGAAGATTGTTGTGATCTATTTTTACAATGAAGATATGCATTTAACATTCAATCTGTCTAAATAAAGATCATATATCCACGCTAAGCTGTCAATGCTCTGTTTTACTTTCTGTTCTGAAGATCTTTCCGGGAGCATCGAGATTTGTTGTAATGAAACACAGCTTCAAAAAATATTTTGAGACAGAGCTTTCATTGGTCAACGCATATATTTCAGAACAGAAAATAGAAGTCCTTGTAGACGAAGGGTGGACTCATGGTCAGTATTTAAATTTGATGGACTTGGGATAATTAGGGTTGATACACTACATACTTTTTTGAAAATAAAGTCTATGTCTACCTTTTTAATAAGACATAATAAAACTTATTGATTATCGAGCTTGTGTATTGTAAATAGTTTCCGGGAGAAGGGTATGTTTGTATTTATAGATTACTTGAATCCGTATGAAATTCCTGGCACATTTCTTTTCATTACAGTGTAACCAAGAGTACAAGCTTATTCGATTCTGCCATTCCTTTTGACTCATGGAACATCAAAAGTGATATAGGATACTGTAGCTGTGAAGATTTCAGAAATTTCGGAAATCAGATTTCCTGCGGGACAATGATATAAAATAAAGTTAACTGACTCTTACTGCACGAAAAAAATGTTTTATATTTCATGTGTATCAGTAAATACATTTAAGTTTTAAAAAGTAGAATAACAAAAATATCGAACTCCAAGGAAAATTCAAAACGGAAAGTCCCTTATCAAATGGCAAAATCAAAATCTCAAACACATTAAAAAACTGTCATATTCCTGACTTGGTACAGGCATTTCCTTGTGAAGAAAATGGTAGATTAAACCTGATTTTATAGCTAGCTAACCCTCTTACTTGTATGACAGTCGCATAAAAACGACCATTGTGATTTTAACAACATCTGAAAAGTCTGAACCATAAAAAAAAAACAAAAGTCTTGTAAAGTGTTGCAGTTATTGTTTCATCTATTTTTGATTTTCTGACATTTGGCTTGTAGTCAATCCAGTACTGTTCAGATACTTTATAGACAATTCAATATGTTGTTGTTATGTATAGGAAAATAAACTACTGAGCAGTCTAAACACAGACGGAATAGATCTTTATTGACTGCAAGAAATTTTCTAAAAAGTACTGAAGTTAGAGCAGTGGATTCGTTTGAAGATTTATTTAAAGACTGAACATCACTTAATATTAATTATTTACTTTTTTAAGCGCTGTGCAGATCAAAATGACCGTTGCAGGTCAAAATTTGTTCACTAGTGTAAAAGGGTAAATGTACGTCTAGTTCTTTGAATTCCTTTCACGATGTAAACCCATTGATTTTTTTTAAACTGTGCTTTCAAGGTTTATTTGGGATGATAATTAACATGATTAAGGTATCACAGGACAAACCAAGTCTATTGATGTTATTTGAACACAATCGCATGAGCTATACAATACTCGTCAAAGTGTTTTTTGCATTTACAACAAAACAAAATGTACCCTTAATTATCGTGAAAATCGGAATTGTTAGAGTTACATTTTAACACAATTGCATTAACCATAAAATACTTGAACATGTCGATTTGAATAGTTTTTGCATTCATTGAGTCATGGTCCTAATTGAGTTGACAAACATATGTTCTTTCACTGATGATAACCAAAGTTCGTCTTGACTGAATCTTTATAAATTTTAACATGATCATGGATCATGAACAATATAATACGTGACGTGTGATTTTGACGAATTTCTCATTTGCTGCTTAAGAGTTATGAGCAGATTTTATATTAAATAGAACATGTAAATATTCTGCCCGTTAGAATTTCTTTTTAAGGCACAATGTCATAGACTAAGATATAAGTTGGTAGTTGATTGTCCCGTCGACGCACCCAATCTTGCTTCTTTATGAATTCATGAGAGTCCGTAAGTTTATTGTTTTTACCTTTATGTGTCTTCTTAATCGATTTATGAGATTTGAATGTAGGTAAAGTGCTGTTGCCATTAGATATAGGTTAACTTCGTATTTGACATTGGACATTTACCGTTTTCTTCACCGGATTACCTAATTCTAGTTTAATATGATTAAGAAATATGTTAGTATACGTCAATTAGACAGGTAACACATGTCTTTTCATTTATTTTATTGTGTCTTTAAATTGCCGTTTTAATCATCAAATACCTAAAACTTTCTAAACAACATGTAATCTACGCATTTTCATCTAATTTTGTTTATTCTAAATTAATGAAAAATTTTAAAATCACCATAACATCAGAAAATATCTTAGTTTTCTATTTCTAAATAATGTCCTGGTTCAACACTTAGTGTTTCTGACCCAGACATAGATGACCTTAGTCATATTTGGCAAAATTTGTATGATTTTTTTGTTTCTAATGCTCATAAACTTCGAATTTGATTTGCAGTTTCAACTGTTCTGATTCAAGCACCACACATAAGTCGTATGTATATTTTTCGTCAGCACAGGTTAAAATTCTTCCAAAAAATATCTATGTATGTATGGTGATTTCTTCATATAAAATATGTACGGTTATGAACGGAACCAACAGGAAATACTCAATACGACGATACACGGAACGTCTATTACTGCTTTAAAGGCATTAACATTCCAAGGTCTAAGATATTTATATGAGAATTCACAAAATGATCCAAAGAAAACTTCAACAAATTATAACGAATTATATGAATCTCATTATTCTTCTTAACCATTTGCACAATTCCTATTTTTTTATGTTGTTACCATTTAAATTATTCAACATCCTGAATACATTCTATGTATCAGTTAAGGATGTTCCCTCCTCTGTTTCAAAACAACAAGCATTTTAAATAACTGGCATACATTAATTGCATATAAAACACGGAATTTAATAAAAAATAAAAATGAAACGTCCTTGTCCTTGTTTATGAGATATTATCAATTGAAAAGTTTGCGGGAAACGATTCTCATTTGATTTTTATACCTTTTTTTTAAACTATGAAGAAATAACAATGATTTTATAAGATTTTAAAAAATGGCCTTTTAAACTATATGTGATAAAATTATGAAAACAATGTTATTGGCACTTCATTGATAAAACAAGAGGATTCCGATTATCGAAAAAAAGTCAAAAATAAGAGTAGCGAACGTTCATAACAAAATAGTCAAAGATTGTAAGTCTTTTCAGTGTTATCGTGTTGTTAATATTGCGGAACTACTGAACTAAAACAGTTCAAAGATAGTAGACATTTTTCTTTTTTTGATAATTTTCAAACTGTGGCGTTTCTTGTAATGGTATGTCAAATGATTGTCAATTATGAACTAGCAAGGCATAATTTTTGATAATATGATCTCAATATCTGATGTCAATCAGACTTGAAATAAATTGTATCAGATGGAATACAGGGTATCAAATAGAAAAAAGGACACATGATGATATTTTGTTTTAAGGATGTTCGCTACTCTGTTTCAAAATAACAAGCTTTTTAAAAGACTGTTAAAAATTGATAGTATATAAATAGAGAAACTAAAAAAAACAGAAAAAAATTCAGGGTCCGTGTGCTTGTTTTCAAGATATAAGCCATTGAAAATTTGGCGGGAAGAAATTCTCTCTAGATTTTTCATAAAATTAACATCGGTACCTTTTTTCTTTTAAAAGCTATGAAAAAAAACAAGGATTTTATAAGATTTTCAAATACAGCTTTTTAAACAATATGTAATAAAATTATGAAAAGAAAAGTAGGGGTTAGCGGGAAAAATATTTAAATGGAACTGCATGGATAAAACCAAAGGATTCCGAATATCTAGCAAAAATTCAAAAACAAGAGGAGCGAACATCCTTAAATCATACTCGATATTTCATCATTGTTCATATGTAAAATAAATACAATTTTTAGTTTGAATGGAAATATATAATATACTGTTTTAAAAAAAGAAAACTAAATTTCACATTGAAAATATTAAATTCGGCGAACATTGTCATCAAACAGTATAGCAATAAAAACAAGGAACGAAATCTTATATCGTAAAACACCAACCAACCATGTTCATGATGTAATCCTAGAAAACGCATTTAGTGGCTATCTAGGATCTTTAAATGGTGTCCAGTACTTTTGATCAATTAATGACACGCTAGCAAAAATCTTCCGCGGGAATTATGAAACGATCCTTATTTATGTTATGATATAGTTTTGATATCCGCGAAATTGAATACTCTACAAATCATTGTCAATATTTTTTTGCGTACAAATCAGTCCAAAAGCGAAAAAAAATATAGTATTTTTGTTTATATTGTAATTATCTATTATACCGGTATTATTAATTTTGTCATCTTTTCTGTACTGATTTTTTTTTTATTTAATTATCTTTTATGAACGTTTTTGCTATGCTGTTGATCGAGTTTTACCACTCACAGATACAATGTATGTAATATACTTTGTGCCAAGTGAGGAATATCGTCTTTGGTTGTTTTGTGGAAATCGTAATGTTTCTGGCTTTAGGAGTTTTTGTGGTGTGGGCAAACATTTTACAGTTTCTGTTTAATTTCTACACAGCTTTCTTAGTAGATGGCAATTGTTCAATACGCTCCCATTACTTTTAAAGTTCCTTTGGTATTTTGATTTCGCCTCTTTTTTTACTGAATGAAAAAAATAATATATTACTGTAACAGTTTGTTCCGTTGTAGTGCCATATGGAACTCTTTCTATCTTTTGGTTTTGAGCCTTTGTGTTGCCTTCTCATTAGAGTATACCGCATAGTTTTTTTTATTTATCTGAATGTCAATTTGACATAAGACAATCTAAAATATAGATTCTAACTGATAAGGAATTATCCTTGTCGGTTATTCTCAATCACGTTTTAAAGGGGTGCTTGTTAATTTCACTTAGTCTTAGTTCCGTATTTCTTGCTAATTCATTTTATTTTTTCAATGTCTGTACTTTTTCTAACAGTCTAGTCTATCCTTTCTCCTTAAGAAAACCTTGTTTACATTTCATACCTTCACATTCGATCAAGTGTTATGGTTGGAGAATATGCATGTACCGTTATACGATGAATATGGTAATGAAGCCCGGTTTCACAAAAGGCAATTAACGTCACAGTACCCAAATTGCACCGAGTACCCAAATTGCACTTATTCAACAAAAATAGCTGTGGATGAATCTTACAAGTTTTCTTTGAGACTAAACAATTTGTATTTTTATGATTTGACATTATACACGTCTTTCAACATAGGTAAATATATTCCAATAAACACAAAACGTTCACGGTATATATCAACAGATGAAGCATTCACTGGAAAAAGTCAAATCTACGGAAACGTCACTATGCGACGTTCACAAAAAATCATATCTTAAAAATTATTAAATAAAATATGTTACAAGCATCCATTTCTTAAAAAATGAATATTAAGCATGGACTAATGTCTAATTGTTCTAAATATTTGAAGAAATTAAACAAAACATCTGTAATTCGATTTATAAGGATGTGAATTTAAGCATGGGTGCAATTTGGGTACTCATCATTACAGAATCCTGGATCGTTTGGAGGTCGGTTCAAACCCATTTTTCTATGATTCAATATAGATTCAAAATTAAATTTGTGGAACTATATAGTAAATACGGATACATCTACAAAATAAACCAAGAATGGAAACTTTTGTCTGAATCATTAATAAACGTAGGTGAAAAAACTGTCAAAAAATGTGCAATTTGGGTACCCTCACGTTACCAATCTGCCATTGTATGATGCCGTATCACCTGATATGACTCATCAACATTTTTTCACGAGAGTAACATGACGTGTGTCCCTGATGCAGCAGGAACTGATGCCCATTCCTGAATGTAGTGTTTTGTGGATTTTGTTTTTTCGTAATTTTCTTTTTGGCCTCGGTATCGTTTGTTTTTCGCGACTGTTTTACCTCTTGTTATATTCTCCACGGCCCTTTTTCGGATAGTTCTTGTGTATTTAATCAACGATAAAAAGGAGTTATGAAATGAAATAACATTTAATGATATGAAAAAAGGTTACATACATGTAATCTATGAATCAAGAAAGCCTTACTCTCAAAGATAAGGATATTTTTCTTTTAATTTTGTCGGTAATTAGTCATAGTAAAACTAAATTTAATGATACAAATAAAAGTAACGAGGTAATGCAATATTTTGTTTCGTTTTATTTCAAATTTGAAAACTTTCCGCCTCTTCAATATCATTTTTACTTATAACAAACTATGTTCCAGGCAAACTACAATTTTTCTCGGTCAAATTCTTCAAGACTAATAATTCCATCTTTATCTTCGTCCATGATTGACCAGTGATGAAACACGGTCGCGTTGTCCGTTATTTGCCTCTGTTCCAATGCTGTAGTGAACTCAAACTGTTCCATCATTCCATTCCTACAGAATAAAAGTAAAATTACTTTATAGCTATCTATAAAACCAGGTTTAGCTAGCTATAAAACCTGGTTTAACTAGCTATAAAACCAGGTTTAGCTATCTGTAAAACCATGCTAAACCAAGAAATGCCCGTATCAAGGCATGATTATGACAGTTGGTTTCTATTCGTTCCGTTGGGTGATAATTCCCAATGTTTGGTTTTGTAAGATTTTATGGAATTCCCCTTTTTGAATTTACCTCGAAGTTCGGTATTTTTGTTAATACTTTTTAAAAGGTATAAGAAGAAGATCAAGAATTCATGCTTTTGCTTTGTAACGTATGTTTTTTTAATGTGTATCGAATTATGTTTGATTTGTTTACATGTAAAATATTCGGCTTATTTTCACGGTAATAAAGGTTTCTTGGAAAGTGCTTCTATAATGTAACATGCAAATATGGATATTTTTTTTATTGAAATTTGCGCAATAAAATTTTGAAAAATCATTTTGAATAAAGTAATTTGTTTAACCTCTGCTTTCTTGTCCGAGTTTGATCTTACTTTTGGTCCTCTTAGATTGTATTAGCTCGTCAACATTTGTATTAAATTTTGGATTTTCAAATATGTTTAGCTCGAGCATCACCGAAGAGACGTTGATTAATATTCATGAACTCTCAAATCTAAACATTTGAAAGCCATGGACGTATAAATACGTACAAATGTTCAGAGCTATATGATCAAACGGGACTAAAGAGAAGAGCAACCGTTTCATATGATTTTTTTACCTATTTCTTTGAAATGTAAATGAGAGCATACGTCAGTAAGACAGCAACCTAACAACACAAAATCCAAAAGTATCATCTTATATCTTTAGGAGTATTTGTCTAGTGCACAAATTGTGTAATACAAATGAAAAGTGTCAGCCAGGGACACTCACGTCCGCGTGAAAAAAAGTCAGGCATAATAGCTGCTGTCAAAAACAGACAACGACGTTCCTAAATAATATTGAAAAGACCAAAACGAATAAAAAGAATGAAACTTTAACTTTAAATTTGCAAATCAAGCCCCGCCATTTCTTCAAGATAATTATATAAAGTGTCATGTAAATTAAAAAAAAAATGTGCCGAATAACATAGAATTTATTAAAACCATTTGTATTACCTCCAGCTATATTATGTAGACTATATATCATATCGGGTCATTTTAAAGCCGACTATACGGTATTAATTTTTCTCTTTGTTGAAGGCCGTGCGGTTGCCTATAATTGCTTACATGTCCTTCATTTCAACTTTCGTGAATAGTTGTCTCATTGGTAATCATACCACATCTCCTTATTTTTTTATTAAAGATATTTTTTTTTTAAACTTGATTTTTGTAGTCCCATAGGATTGCTAAGCAAAAATGTATCGCCATGTATATAAATATAATAGGACTGGAATCTAACTCTACAGAACCTATAACAACAATGCATTATAATGGACAAATTGTAAATATATATATAAAATAATATTTTTATCAGATTGGTTGCGAATACAAACAGTTGAGCCAAACACTTTTGGTCGATAGGAAAACTATCTACTTAAGCTGTTAATCATGCCCCCTTCTTGTGTCCTACGACATCATCCAGTGTCTTATTGGGTTCTGAATTATGTCATACTACACCACACAGTGTCTTATCGAGTTTTTAGAGGAAACAACACCTTTTTTTAAAAAAACTTCATTCATATTCAAAAAAGAAATTATGGCATAAACGTCAATGAAACAGCAACACAACTACAGATAACAATATTATAGATGTTAATCATAATGTACATATGTAAAATGTGTTTTTTATTCTATTTTTTTTCTTTTTGTTTTGTATGTAAAAACACATCAAAGATACGCGTTTCGTCTACTTAAAACGAATCAAGGTCCGTCTACTTAAAACAAATCAAGGTCCGTCTACTTAAAACGAATCAAGGTCCGTCTACTTAAAACAAATCAAGGAGTTGAAAGGACAAATCAAATCTTAAATTGTCAATAAAGAAATTTATACTTACTTGTTGATGTCTAGACCCATAAACGTCACATAAGCAGACATGTCGGTAGTAGCAAATGGTGCGCTACGTTTTCCTTTTGCCTTGTAACACTTACATGCACCATCACGTACAAAACAATCTTTACCGCTCGGTTCTGTACGACACCTACATCCACAACAGAATATGTTACATTTATCATATCCACAACAAGGAGTACCTTTAGTGCAGTCTTTGCAGTACTTTTCTTTAAATTTACGACAACATCCTGCGCTAGTTGTATCCATGAAAACAAAGCAAATTAAGAATACAAGCGTCAACCGTACCAGTTTTCCTTCAACAAAAGACATCTACAATAAAAAAATAATTGATATACATCAACAAATTCGTGTAAGTTCATTTATTCTATTTGGAAATATATCGATAGATCAGAGTTCACAGTGACTGATCGGTAATCCATGTGCCCTTTTTAATCGTATTCGCAAATTGATATATTACAGTTTTGTGATGTCAAATGTGATTGACCTGGCTTATATAAGTTTGAATCGATCTTATCAAAGGCGTAATATGGGTTAAACCGATGTTGATCATATTTAGTCAATTCTTCTTCTTGTCAGCTTCTAAAACAAAAGAAAACTATTGTATCGATCGTAAAAGCCACACAAGTACAATCCGATAAATGCAGGCTCCCCTAGCATGGAACTCTTAAAATATTAGCTAATCGGCACCAAATGAAGTTTTTGCTGTACATTATATACCTCTGTCGCCAAAGAAAGCTACACAGGGTTCCTGCAGCTGATATTTTTACAACATCAATATTTAGAAAACCTGATAATCGGTTATATTGTTCATGTTATTCATAAGCAATGGTTGATGGACTTTTAGTATACAAACGTCATAGAGTTTGATAAAACATTATGTGATACTAATGTGTGTGTACGTGATGCGTATATAAGGTACAACCGTCATCAGAGATGCTAGATACTTAAAATTTGAAAAGAAAAATGCATAAAAGATAATAGACATTACAACGTGACCTAAACAGAAAAGCCAAAATGGTCTAAGACCAACTTTTCCAGCTGGAAGGAAGTGCAAAAGAGAAGAGACGAAAGATACCAAAGGGATATTCATACATCAAAAACAAACTGACAACGCCATGGCAAAAAATGAATAACGATCAAAAAACAAACAACAGTATATAAAACAAAACATAGAAAACTAAAGACTAAACAACACGAACCCCACCAAACTTAGGTTTATTATGATTAAATAAGTTGTCAACTAAAGATTTATAATCAAAATGTAGACTTTCAAGCATATCAGAACCAAAGCATTGTTTATTGGAATCAACATTAAGTTTTTTTTATGTACAATTTTTATTTGATAAATTTTAAAGCCAGACTGATATCGTTTAAAAAAAGAATTAATAACATTTTTACCTTGTAATACATTTAATATATTAAAACTTATGACGGGGCAGTATAAATAGGGCAGGATAAAGGATCTTTTTTTTAATTATATTTTTGTTTTCAAAATCTCCTATACGTTTGTTGGTACAAATATATTTATGATACAAAATAGTATAGGGTACGGAATGGTATATGGTTTTGATCATTGGTACGAAATAACAAAATATGTTAGGTACGAAATGGTTAAGGTACAAAAAGAATAGCTACCTAGGTTATCATGTTTTATCTTAATTTATATTGACTGTATTAATCTAACATTTGTGAATTCCAGCAACTCAAAATGACGGCGCAATACATTTTCAATGTGGATTTAACGGTAAATTTTAGCCAATGGAAAATATTGTTACATGAAGATTGAATTAGAATTAAGGAATAACAGTACGGTAGTTGAAGAGTTTTCTTTGCAGTGTTTTTGTATTGTTGTCTGTCTGTTGGTCATTTACTTTTTTAGTCATTGCGTTATCAGCTTATTTTCGACGTATGAGTTTGAATGACCCATTTGAATCTTTCACCTCTCATTTACAGTTGTCAATTTGCGATTTGATGGTCACAAATGCAGTTTTACTGGCGATGCGTAGATTTCGCAATTACGACATATAATGTGGATTAAACGGTAAATTTAAGCCAATGAAAAAAACAATGTTACATAATCGCCAATTGACCACTGCAGCTCTTAAACTACAGTACTGTTATACCTTAAACATCACTCGGGTAGCGTGATATGGTAAATTATCTCAAAGGAGATCAAAAGAAAATTGTAAGTTAGATAGATAAGAAATAGAAAAAAGACTGTTACCTTAGAATGCTTAGTAACGATATACTCACTGTAGTAAATCAAGTAATTCTCCACCGTTTAGAATAACATCGCATCAGCTTTACTTATATAGTAGTGTTTATTAATTGTGAGTTCACAAGGTTAACATGCAATTATTATTCAAAAGAAAACGGCAAAACATGATTTAAGCATAAACATTCCTCCTCGGCTTTGAAATTCTAAATAAAAATGACAGTTTCCTGTTAAAACAATTACGCGTTAAGAACTAAATCAACCACAGTTGCGTTTCGACAGGGGGTATCGTTCATGGTTTTGTGGAGTCACATTTATCAGTGACACAAATATTTGTTGATTGCAATTATTCTTTCGCGGAAACCTAAATGATATAATAAAAAGCACGTGTACATTCACATGTAGGAGACAAAAATAGTAAGACTCTTTATATGATGCATTGTGTTTGTAAATTTCTAGTTCATCAAATTGTGTAACTGTCCAAAAATTAAGGTTAATTGTTTAGCTGTCATATGTACATCCTCATTGTTTTTCATAAATCTAATGGTTATATAAGAAACACGTATTGCGCATGTATTAAATCAACGGAATTCCACGACACTCCACGGAAATCATATTTTTTTTTTTACATTTTTGTTTATTTGGTTTGTATCTTTTTGTAAGAAAGAATCATAAGATACACCATAAAATGTAAATCAAAGCTGTCTAAGAAAGTTTTTAAAAGGATAGTATTAAATAATACATATAATTAAAATCCCATGGTTGAGTGAAAAAAAAAACAAAAATGTGTTTGACTCTATTAAACTCTAAAATTCAGTACTGTAACATTGGCCCCAAATTATCGGTAAGGGCTTCTCTAAACCAGCCTTACTGGCCAGGGGGTTTCATCAATTCATATCGATGTCAGTAAGAAAATATTACTAAAGTATTAAACCCCTTTTCGAACCTTGGAATACAGTAAAATCTTTTTACGGCCACATTAAAAAGATTATTAAGGGGAAAGGGTTTCCTGATCTAACATTATTCCGGCTGGTCTAGGGGAGCATCTGCTTAATGAACTAATGTGATTAACACCCTTTTGAGCCTCTCGTGTCTCTATAATGCAATAACGAATCCGTTCTTAAACCCGTTTTAAAATTTTTAAGAAGAGCATGTATATACTTACTCAAATTCATACTATACCACATCTTCTTATATCTATATAGGGATTATTCTTCAATTCATATAAAACATTAAAAAAAAACTTATGTTTGTATAATAATCATCAGCTTTCTTTTGAACCCTTACATTACCAATTCATCATCACATAATAACACAGCTAGTGTCAAGCTACCCAAGACCTCATCAACACCGAATGTACACAGCTACATTTGTAGTATAACACGGAAGTCAATAGCTACCCGTGACTTCAAAAGATCATCGTCCCCTAATTTACACATATAGCGTGTCACAGAAAACAAAAGCTACCCATGATTTCATCTTCGTCTAATTATATAATGCAGACAGACAGTATTACCCAGATGTTCTTAGCTACCCACGACTTCATCATCACCTAATTTACACAGCTTGTGTTACACAGAAGTCCATAGCTACCCTTGACTTCATCATCGCATAAAGTACACAGCTAGTATCACAGCTATCCATAACTTCATCATCACCTAATGTACACAGCTAGTGTAACACGGGAGTCAATAGCTACCAACGACTTCATAAGATCATCGTCACCTTATTTACACAGCTAGTGTGTCACAGAAAACCATAGCTACCAATGCCTTCATCTTGGCCTAATGAACACAGTCAGTGTTACACAGATGTTCATATATAGTTACCAATGACTTCATCCTCAGCCTTTGAAACACACATGTTTCTAGCTATAGCGACTTGTGACTTCAACATCACCTAATGTACACAGCTATTGTTACACAGAAGTCCATAGCTACCCGTTACTTCATCATCTACCAATGTGCACAGCTAGTGTTACACAGAAGTTACCCATAACTTATAATGTATACAGCTAGCGTAACAGAACCCAAATTGCACCGAGTACCCAATTTGCACCTATTCCGATAAAAAAGTGACAGATATATTATAGGTTTTCACAAAATGTACGTAGCTAGAGTTACACAGAATTCCAAAGCTTTGGGTGTGGATGGGAATTCTTTATTTCATTATTTTTTTAGTTTGTGTGCAATTTTTCTTCTATTTATTTTTGGCCCATTATTCTATATTCTTTATATTTTAGCACCCCTATTTTTTCTATTCTTTTTTGGGGATCTGTTTTTTCTCTATTTTCTATTTTTTCGGCCATTATTGTCTACTAGTATTCTGTAAACCATCCACACCCTCATATCCATCCAGACCCTCGTACCTACCCTTGACGTCATCACCACCTCATGAACATATCTAGTGTAACGCAGAGGTCCATAATTACCCACGACTTCATCGTCCACTAATGTACACATTCAGTTTAACACAGAAGTTCTTAGATACCCAGGATTACATCATCACCTAATATACATGTACATAGCTAGTGTTACAGATAAGTACGTAGCTACCGACGACATCCTCATTACCCAATGTACATAGGAAATGTTACATCGAAAACTAAAGCTTTCAACGACTTCATCATCTTTTGTGACCTAATAGTCTCGTTTGTTTTGATCTCTCTTTTCTTTACACCCCATGCAGACCCTTAATAGTCTTTTGTTTCATAACCAAATGATAAACGATGAAATCTGTACGTTGATTAACAAATTATTTATAACAAGTAAACATGTTTATTATGTATCCGTCAGCAGTCCTCGTAAAGTTGTCTGTTCAGTTTAAAGAGCCATTTACATATCATATCGAACGGTAGTATTCTCTGGACTATGGATGATATAGTTTCATGTTTTATAGTGTATGTTATTTTAAGTTTTTTTATTTCCCTTTTTCCTTTTTTCTCAGAATGTATGGGGTGGAAATGAAAGAAGATAGATGAAATAGATTTTTGTTTTTGTTTTATTTCTACTTTCAGTATTTGTAAACTGTATGACTTCAATATATCTGCTCTTTTCTATAAATTTGGGGAATGTGAATAGACTATTTTCATATTACCGACTTTTGACTCCGGATTATATAATTTGTCGACTGGTTACCTTGGACATCATGGTACCAAGTCAGGTAAGAGCAAGCTAAAGAAGTAAAACCAAGCTTTCAATCGGTACAATTTTGAGGGAAAATTACCTGCTTAACAATTTTTTCACTACAAAATCATCGGAAAACAGTAAACTTTCCCCTCAAATTACACCGATTATATGTTTGATTTTACTTATTTTGGTAGCTCTTACCTGACCCAGTACCATGATGTCCAAGGTAACCAGTCGACAAATTATATAATCCGGAGTCAAAAGTCGGTAATATGAAAATAGTCTATTAAGCAATTCGTGTATAATGCAAATAGGGTAGTGTGTAATGATATATACAATGTTCGTGCAGTGAAGGAAAATATAAAAAAAAAAATTTGAGGAGCCTTAGAAGCAGAGAAAATCGAGGCTTTCCTGTTTCGTAGCGAGTACATGACTGCCGTTGCTAAAAATATAGCAAGGGGTAAAAGTGCAGTTTCTTGCTTTTATTTGAACCTAATTTTGTGGGACTGTTCCTTGGGGTATTTAGTTTATAAATCATATCCAAAGTTCTGATTTATTAGGCAGCATGGCTGTAATTGCTAAAAATATAATATAGGTTCAAACTGCATTTCTTTGGATTTTCTTTTTCTAGTACTTGCTCAACGCCGCTTCTGGTGATATTGCAGGTACCAGAAGGAATCATCAGCTTAGTGGTCAGTGCTTCAGTAATAACATTATTTATAACATGCCTTTCTTAAATTTTCCGTTGGTACATTTAGAAATCATTTAAATATTCCAACTACTTCAGGCAAACTTGACCTCAAATGAAATTGGCTATTAATTTATGCCCATTTCGTTTAAACAGATCCTGAAGTGTTCAAGTATTTATCTGTGATGAGTAAATTTTCATCTTTAGCTTTTTAATTTATGGGTTGAATAATTTTTTTACAGAGTCACTGTACTTAAATGCATTTTTATGATTTTCACTTGTTTTTGCTTATGTCGTGAATATAAAAAATATAAAGCAAAACTATAAGTTGAAAAAAATCAGCACTGTCTTAATAACCATCTATAAAAGTTGCGATTATGTTGACACTGTCTGACGACTTTTTAATTTGCAGCTTTACTGTTTTTGACTTGTATATCAAAAACTAAAGAGCTATATTATAGAAAAAACTGTGACAATCAAAAATGATCAATGCTTCAAGATCTACCAAATTTATGGACCTAAATTGCCCGATTACTTACTCCGTATTGCCCTTGAAACACATTTTAAAAATGTGTTATGTACAATGAAGAGGAATGAAGAAAAATTAAACAATGATTAATATTTTACTATAATTGTATTATTGCTTCTGAAATGACCTGATCTCTCTAGGTATTTGATGTGGTACCAGGTGAGCAATTTGGCCTCTTGGGAGCCCTTAGTTGATTTAGATGTAGATGATGGATATATGGATGGATGGCTGTTTAGTCAGTCTGCATAGACTCAAACAAATGAAGATGAAGATGAATATGAATGACATCACAATGTCAGCGATTATGATAAATAGAAATAAGAAGATGTGGTATGGTTGCCAATGAGACAACTCTCCATCCAAGTCACAATGTGTAAAGGTAAACAATTATAGGTCAAAGTACGGCCTTCAACACGGAGCCTTGGCTCACACCGAACAAGCAAGCAATAAAGGGCCCCAAAATGACTAGTGTAAAAACAATTCAAACAGGAAAACCAACGGTCTAATCTATATAAAAACAAGAAACGAGACACACTTATGAACCACATCAACAAACTACAACCACTGAACAACAGGTTCTGACTTAATACAGGTGCAAACAAATGCGGCGCGTTTAAACGTTTTAACAAGTGCCAACCTTCACCCTAACCTGCAACAGTAGTGTAACATTAGAACATAGAAAGATACACTATAAAATATCAACAGACTGTTCTTAGTAAACGAAAACAGTTCGAAGAAAGAAGTTTAATAATAAATACATATAATGGAGTGTGTGTCCGAGCGAGAACTTCTCTATTTGGTCGGGTTGTTGTCTCTTTGACACATTTTATTTTATACGAATACCTTAAGGTATTTGTTCAAAATTATTATATTTTATATATATATATAATTTTATTAAAATATACTTTTTCACTCATTTGGTCTTTTGGAAAATGTTGTTTGTGCTGT